CAAGCACGACAGTGACAGGGGCGGCAAGCAGCGTTAGCGCAGTGTGGTCACGGAAGAAGCAGGCAGACGCACTAGAGTCAAGCGTGAAAGAGAGCAAAGCGGGTAACGACAGCTGGCGGAGGGGCTAGCGTGGAGCCTAGGCTAAACAATGCAGAAGGTCCTACGCCTGACGCAGCAGGGGAGCCTAGAATACACACAAGAGCACACATACACTAGGCAACACAGGTTATATGGTCCAGTCACACCAGAGTCATCAGCATACATGGCATGCAAGGCAAAGCAAATATTATCCATATCCATCTCAAAGACAAGCACACGGTGAATGCACCAGACTGGGCCTGTCGGGAAGGTGCGGCGCAGGGCCGAAGTGGAGACGGAACAGGTCGTCGAGGTGGCGGAACCAGCAGGCGGCAGTGTGACTGGGATGACCACACATAGTGCTGCAAAAGGGCCGGTCTGGAGCTGGTACTGGCAACCCACAGCGCCGAAGCTGCCACCCAGCGCCGAGCTGCGAGGGCCGCCACCGCGGCCACCACCACCAGAGGCACCGGGCCACCCCGACAGGAGGCGCCGCACCGTTGCTGCTGCTGCGATTGCTGCTGCTGCAGTTGCGACTACTGCTACTGCGGCTGCTGTTGCTGCTCCGGGGCACCAGACCCGGTCCCCTCGTCGGAACCACCATCCCAGCCCCCATCCACCACCCCCACCACCCTTCCCTCTGCCACAACCCCCTTTGGGGCGGCGGCCCCTACCCTGACGCGGCTGTGCTGAGGCCACAATAGCCGTCTTAGCAGCAGGGGCTGTCTCAGTGAAGCAGCAGAGACGTCAGAGTAAGTGCACTGGGAGGGAGCATAGCCCTGAAAGATAGGAACCGCTGGCAGTACCGCTAGACTGAGCGATAGTGCGCTGACTGGTCTCTATCTCGGCAGGGCGGTGACAAAGGCGGTAAGGGTGGAGGTCACCTGGGTGCTGACTAAGGAAGTGGTCATGGCAGTGGCTAGGCGATCCGGGAGGCGCGTGGCACAAAGTGGTGGCGGGTAGGCAGTGAGCTGGCTTCAGTGCTAGCGGCGCGGGGTAGCTAGCCTCAAGTGCGCGGAGGTGATTGGCTAGGTCAACAACAGTGGGGAAGACCACAACATCAGGGAACGGCATGGGGAGGATCAAGCGGCCAGCGGAGGCGGAGGCGAGCTTAGAGTAGCGCGCAACTTACGACCTCTAAGAATTCCTTAGCGTTTGCTACATCGGTAAAGCGGGGACGCTCAGACAGAGGGAGGCGTGACTAATGGCAAGCTGCGCTACGGCGTCGCGCGACTCTAGACAGCGCGAGCAAGCGCAGCAGCGGAAAATGCCTCAAGCTCAGCAGTGGTGGGGGCATCAGGTAGGGCAGCAAGCGTGGGGGGACGGGGAAGCAAGCCATCGACATGAACAGCCAGGGAGTTTCCGTCCTAGCGCTGACTTGTCCGGTGATGGCGAAGGTTGACAAGCCACGCATCGAAGTCGATCGCCCGCCCCTCCGCATCCATGTGGAGCACAGCGTCCGCCATTGCACGAACTCAGCTACACGACGGCACGGCTCCACGGCAGCACGACGCAACGACAGTACGGCGCCACGACAGCACGACGACACGGCTCCACGGCAGCATGGCGCCACGGCTACATGGCGGCACAGCGGCACGGCCGGCACAGCGACACGGCGGCACAGCGACATGGCGGCATGGTGGCACGGCTCCACGGCAACACGGCGCCACGGCGGCACGACGGCACGGCGGCACGGCAGTCCGGCTCCACGGCGGTACAGCGGGTGCGAAGCGGGCAAGAGCAGGGGCTGGCAGAAGCGGCTGGCGAACATGGGGCCAGCAGGCCCGTTTTCGTAAAAAGTAATAGAAAATAGTAGAAAACAATGCCCCACCAAGCTCACTAGAGTTGCACCACCCTTTTCTATCCAAACGACTCTCTTCAAACTCTTGCACATAGGGTTCCTAGGCATGACCTGCAACAGCACGTGCCGTTAAGTTCACCCAACTTTTTATATCCAGGTGGAAAGCGGTCACCAGTGGGCCATGTGAGCTCGCTGTCCAAGACTGCACAGTTTTCAGCTGGGAGCTCGGAAATGCGTGCAGGCTTCGTGATTCAAATTTTCCAGGTATTTTGTGCGATTACAGAACTGCATTCAGGTGTGAATAGACCTCCCTCCCTCCACCAACCCAATGACCGTCAGAAACGGCGAAATCAAGTGTTCCATCATGGTGACTTCATGCTCTGTCAAAAGCACATCATAGTGCGAATGGTGATAAACAGCAATATAATAATTGAAACTCTTCCACACGTCACTTTCACATGCAATCCATGGTAGTTACAGCTATCAAAGCCATGCATGCCTATTGTATTCACAGTCACTTTGCAAAAAACATACAATTATTTTTATCCGTATGTTTATTCATACCATTAAAACTGAAGTAAAAGGTGGGTCCGCATCTTGAGAAGCACAAGGGAAGCAATACACAATCGAAAGCACAAGAGGAAATAGAAAACACGTGAAACTAGATGAGTTGCTGGAATAATGGTACAACCATATGAAACTAATCTATTAGCTCGACCATCTGTCGTGGCATCATGAGCCTCATTCCTCTCGTTATCATGGTAAGTGCTTAGCTCCTTTTCTTCACTATGCCCAAACTCTTCCACCTGGTGGCCCTCTGTGGGATTGGCTGGTTGAGCATCAGGCAAACTATGTAAGGATACAATATGCTCAAAGGCATGCCTTTCTGACCAGTCCAGTGTGTGATGAGAGGAGTTGGCCAGTTGCAGGTTGCTAATTTGGCATGTATGATGACTGAACGGCAGGTGAGCTGATGCTGGCTGCTGGTATGGCGCAAATGTCAGGGCTTCGGGCATGCAAGGAGTAGCCGTGGCAGCATTAGTGAGTGTTCGTGTTGTCGGGATTGCAGCAGCAGCAGGAATTAAAGCGTTTGCAATGCACATAGCAGAAACTGAAGGTGTAGGAGCGATCGAGGCTGCAACTGTGACTGAGGTGAAGGTGCAGCTGAGGGTACAGGTGCAACTGAGGGTACAGGTGCAACTGAGGGTACAGGTGCAACTGAGGGTACAGGTGCAGCTGAGGGTGTATCTGTACCTGAGGGTGTATCTGTACCTGAGGGTGTATCTGTACCTGAGGGTGTATCTGTACCTGAGGGTGTATCTGTACCTGAGGGTGTATCTGTACCTGAGGGTTGTGGCTGAAATCGAGAGTGCAGTTGCGGCTGAAGCTTCTGTGACTGATCGTCCGTGAAGAGCGGCAAGGAAGGTTGCATCCTGCATAGTGACAGGCAGAAACGCACTAATGGAAGAGAAGGGAAGCTCCCTGGGAGAGGCATGCACCGCAGCTGGAGTGGTGTGCTAGAGGACTGCTGCTTAGGTAAGAGAATGGCAGGGTCAGAAGGGTTTTGTTGAAGGAAGGGAGCGATAGGAGAGGAGACAGCCAGATTGGCAGGTGCTGCAGCAGTTTTAGCAGCTGATACTACATCCACAGGGTACTGCAGCAGCTAGTGAAAGATATTCAGCAGCAGCAGCACAGCAGCACCAGCAAAAAACAGCAGCACCAGCAACAACAGCAGCACCAGCAACAACAGAAGCACCAGCAACAACAGCAGCACCAGCAGCACAAGCACCACCAGCAGCACCAGCAGCACCAGCAGCATCAGCAACAACAGCAGCACTAGCAGCACCAGCAGCACCAGAAGCACCAGCAGCACCAGGCAGCACACCTGCAGCCCCAGCAACCACAGGAGCCCCAGCAGCCGCTGCAGAGATGAGTGAGCAGAGAGTTGATTTGTTTAATTCAGGCCTGTCCATGGTAAAATGTTTACTCCTATAGAAGTGTACATAAGTCATGCATTTATGTTACACGTTTAGATCAAGATCCATCTTCACTGCAGCACTGGCATTGCCATCATTCTCAGAGCTCTGGGCCTTGTCCACAGCTGTCCTTTCGTTACAATGGGTAAGCGCTCCTTCCCTCCCCGCTCTACTATCTCCAGACCAATCCGTCTGTGGCGTAACCGTTGTGATGACTGCCTGATGCTTGAACCGGCTTTGCATCAGGCAGGTACTGCAAAGGATGCAGAGTGCTCACCGGCAAACTTCTTCCCTCCCTCCTCTACCACTCACAGGCACACTATCCGACCAGCAAGTACCGGTACATGCCAGGCGAAATTGGCTAGTTGCAGGTTGCTGAACTGGCAGTGGCGGCTGAGCCAGCGGAAGCTGAGCTGGTGCTAGCTGCTTGTGTGGCATAGATGAAGCAGCAGCCGCAGCTCCGGCGTATGTGGTCGGTGCAGGGGAAAGCAGCTGCAGCAGAGAATGCAGCAAGGATGACGGTGTCAGCAAGGCTCGATGCTGTAACTGAGTGTGTTGATGCAACTGATGGTGTAGCCTTAACTGACGGTGCAGCTGTGACTGATAGTGCAGCTCTAACCGACGCTCCAGCTGTAGCTGATGCTGGAGCTTTGGATGATTGTGCAAGCACAAGAGATGCAGGAATGGCTTCATCCTGCATTGCCCTGGGTAGAGGGGACAGACCAGAGGACAGGTTTGGAGAGGACAGGTTCGGAGAGAACAGGTTCGGAGAGGACAGGTTCGGAGAGGACCGGACCGGTAGAGAAGAACCCTCCCTGGGTGCGTATGTTGCAGGTAATGGTGCCACCTGCTGCTGCTGCTGCTGCTGCTGCTGCTGCTGCTGCTGCTGCCCAGCAGCCAGGTGGGCTGGTGCTGCCCGTGCAGCAGGATGCCCAGCAGTCACTGCAGCAGCGAGAGAGATAAGTTTGGCCACAGCACCAGCAGCACTGGGAGTCGAGTGAGCTGTCGGAAAGTATCTTACCTGTTCTGGTCCCTGGGCGCCTCTCCTCCTCCTTCACAACATAATTCCCCTGGTTCCCCTGCTTCCCCCTTCATCACCCTCCGGGTGCTGTGATATGAGGCCGCAGCACCTGTACAGTCCTCACGTGCAGTTATGAGTGGGTGTGTGGGTGGCATACCAGTGCATGAGGTGGTCGATGCGGCAGTGAATCTGTTTGGCAGTGGAGCATTAACAGTGGCAGCGAAAGCGGAGGAAGCAGCAGCAGAAGCGGCAGCAGAAGCGGCAGCAGAAGCAGCAGCAGCAGCCGCAGCAGAGGGGGTATTGGCAGCCGCAGCAAGGGCAGCAGCAAGGATGGCAGCAGCGTGTAGCTGATGCTGCTGCTGTTGCTGCTGCTGTTGCTGCTGCTGCTGCTGCAGCCACAGCAGCCATTGCTGAGCCACATTCGGTAGAGCCCCCACAAACAAGTTCTGTGCGGGTGCTGCAGCAGCTGCTGCTGCCAGCCTGCCTACATCCCAGCCTGGCACAGCGCGCGGCAAAGGCGTGGATATTCCTGATTCTGCTCCTGCTGCTGCCCCTCCTCCTCCTCCTCCTCCTCCTCCTCCTCCTGCTGCTGCTGCTGCTGCTGCTGCCGCTCCTCGTGCTCCTCCTGCTCCTGCTCTTCCCGCCCCTCCCTCTCCTCCTGCTCCTGCTGCTGCTGCTGCTCCTGCTGCTCCTGCTACTGGTGTGCTTCCCACGAAGCTGCTTGCCAACGCCAGTAGCATGTCACTGGTTGCCGCAATGCCACCCTGCAGCGGATAATTGCTGTCATGCGAGTGTGACAGGCTGGCACCACTAGCAGCCAGCACAAATGATTTCCTGGTGCTCGTGGTGGTGGTGGTGGTAGTGGTGGTGGTGCTGCTGCCCCTGCTGCTGCTGCTGCTGCTGCTGTTGGTGCAGGCAGCGTTACTGGCACCAGACTGCACCAGGGGGAATGATGACTGATGCATCCGGCTGCTCCCCCCTGCTGTGGCCACTTTCCTTCCAAGCCCAAACTCCAGAGAACTGTCGGGCCCCCTGCCACCAGCGCTGTGAAGTGCTGGTGGTAGGCTGGCACCAGTTTTAGCCGGCACAAAGGAACTGCTGCCGGTGCTGGGCCCCCTGGCACCTCCAACTTGTGGCATGCCAGCTGCAGCACTGGAAGTGCCAAAGCCGCTCTTGGCAAGAGCACGAGCTCTTGCAAGAGCGCCCATGGGATCTTTGTTGCCATGAGTGGGAGCAGGGCCAGAAGATGCCACAGTTGCTGCTGGTGCAGGTGCTGCTGGTGCAGTTGCTGCTGGTGCAGTTGCTGCTGGTGCAGCTGCTGCAGCATCATTCGCAGCAGCAGTAACAGTGGCAGCATTAGCGGCAGTAGCACCCGGAGTGGCAGTAGCATCAGCTGCAGAGGCTGCAGCAGAAGCTGCACCGGTAGCTGCTGCTGTTCCTGGTGCCGCACCCGCAGCAGCAGCAGCACCAGCAGCAGCAGCAGCAGCAGCAGCCGCACCAGCAGAACCTGAACCCGCAGCAGCAGCAGCGGCAGCAGCCGCACCAGCAGCACCCGCACCCGCAGCAGCAGCAGCAGCAGCAGCTTCAGATCGCATCTCTTCCTTTAACTCTGCAGCAAACCGAGCAGCCAGGGAGAGGGTTGTGCGGCGGGGGTTGTCGGGAGGAGGGTGCGAGTGCTGCCCGAGAAACGCCACCTGGGGCTGCGGCTGCGGCGAGCTGGGAGGGGGCTTCTGCAAGGGTATGTCCATGGTCTTCTTGGCCTGGCACCCCGCCGCGTGCTGCGCGCAGCGGAAATAGGCCCTGGAGGGGAGAGATAGTTGTGAAGGAAAATAAAAATGAAGGCGGAGAGTGTTGCACCGTAGGGGTGGTCGGGAGGCGGGTGTGAGTGCTTTTTCTAGAAACACCACATGGGGCAGCGGCCCCGGCTTACACTGGGGGAGGGGGAGGGGGGAGGAGGAGGTGGGGGGAGGAGGAGAGGGGGGGGGGCATGGGTATCTCCATGGCCTTTCTTGGTCTGACTTGCCATTGCATGCTGGGTACAGCGAAACATGAACTGGAGGCGAGAGGAGTGAGATAGGGCATGAGGTGGAGAGGAGAGGGGGGGTGAGGGGGGGTGAGGGGGGTGCAGGAGGGGAAGAGGCGGATGACCATGGCTTCTTGGCCTGGCACCCTGCTGTGTGCTGCGCGCAGCGAAAATGGGCTCTGGAGGGATGGGGGGTTGTTTGGGACGAGGTGAGGAGGGGAGGGGGATGGAGGAGGGGAAGGAAGGTATGTCCATGGGTGCTTGGTTGGCCTGGCATCCTGATGTTTGCTAGGCACAACGGTAATAGGCTCTGGAGAGGTGAGAATGGGTCGTGAGAGGCAGATTTGGAGAGGGGTTTGGATGGGAAAGGAATGGGTATCCAGGGTTGGCTTCAACAAAGCCCAAGTTGGGCCTTGATCGAGCATAGCGATGCACTCAGCAAGGTAGGGTCTAGGGAGGTAGTGACTAGGTGGGGGGAGGAGTGTGCATTCTCACTCATTCACTCACTCACCGAGTGTAATCTCACCCACACCTTCACTCCCTCACTCACCATGCATCGTCTCATTCACCCACTCACCCTCTCCGTGCGTAGTCTCACTCAGTCCCTCCCTCACTCAATCACTCCCTCACTGTGTGGAGTCTCAATCACTCACTCCCTCTTTCACTCTCCATGTGTAGTCTCACTCCCTCCCTCACTCACTCACTCCCTCACTCACCGTGTGGAGTCTCACTCACTCACTCACTCCCTCACTCACTCACCCACTCACCGTTTGTAGAATCACTCACTCACTCTCTCATTCACCGTGCGTAGTCTCCCTCTCTCCCTCCAAAAGTCCCTCACTCCCTCACTCCCTCACTCACCTTGTGTACTCTCACTTTCTCCCTCACTCACTCATTCCCTCACTCGCCGCATGTAGCCTCACTCACTCACTTTCACTTTCTCTCATGTGTATTCTCACTCAATCCCTCACTCACTCCCTCACTTACTGTTTGTAGTCTCACTCCTTCCCCCACTCACTCACTCATTCAATTACCATATGTAGTCGCACTCACACTCACTCCCTCCCTCACTCACCGTGTGGAGTCTTCACTCCATCCCTCCCTCCCTCAATCCCTCACTCACTCGCTTCCCCCACTCCCTCACTCACCATGTGTTGTCTCACTCACTCACTCACTCCCTCACTCACCATGTGTTGTCTCACTCACTCCCTCACTCACCGTGCATAAACTCTCCATCAGCACCTTCTGTCCGTACTTGAGCCAGTGGTACCGGGTCCCCTTCACTCCCCTCTCTCTCCTCCCCTTGTCCTTCTCGCCTGCTCTCCTCTGCTTCATCCCTCCGCTCCTCTCTTTCCCTCCCTTCTCTTCCCCCTCCTTTGCCACCTTCTCTTCTCTCTCCTTTTCTCCCTCCTGTGCCCCCTTCCCTCCAACGCACGCCCGTTTCTGCGCCAGCTCCGTATCCTGCTCCGTTGTCTCCTCTTGGAAAGCCCTTCCACTGCCCGTCGATTTGCCAGGCCTGTGCAACTCCTCCACTGGCACCTGAACTTTCTCCTGAACTTTCTCCTGGACCACCTGCTCCCGCTGATAGCCTTGTTCCTCCCTTATCCTCCCCTTCTCGCCAGGCCGTTTCTCCATCTTCCTTCTCCTCTTAGCAGCGGTGAAGTCACGCGTCAACCCGTCCCCACCTCCCCTCCCCCTCCCTCCTGCACCGGTGCATCACACCCACCAGCATGCGACTGAACCTCCATGGGCGTCCCACCCTCTTCCCCACTCACCCTCCGTGCTACCTCCAGCTCCATTGCCCCCCTCGTTCCCTCCCCCTGCCTCCTCTCCGCCTCTTCCTTCTCCTACTCGTTCTGACGGCACAGCTGCCCACCACAAGCCCCCTGCTCCCTCGTTATAAGCCGCCTCAAAACCCCCTCGGCCCCTCCCCCTGCCTCCACACCCATCCCTTTCTCCTACTCGCTCTGACGGCACAGCTGGCGATCCCAAGGCCCCTGCTCCCTCGGTGGATGGTGGCTCCGCTATAGGCTCTTCTTTACACTTGAAAGATGGCTGCTCCTCGTTGTGCCCATGAAAGTACCCCTCCCCTTGCCCCTCCCCTTGCCCCTTCTCTCGCCCCTCCTCCTGTCCCTCCGCTTGCTCCTGATTTTCCCGCTTCGCTCCCGATTCCTCTAGCTCTCCGAGTTGCCGTGCCCGTGCGTGGGAGCAGAGAGGGGGTGAGGCTGGGTGGTGCTTCTGTCGTCGAATGATGCATGCTGCTCGCTAGGGCGAATGGGGGCGTTTTGTCGAGCTGGGATCCTGCACCATGGAGGGAGGGAGGGAGAGAGGAGGGAGGGGGGGAGGGAGGGAGGGCTTTATAGTCCATAGACGCCTAGGTGCTTGTTTCGGGATGATGCAAGATGCTCGCTAGGGCGAATGGGGGCGTTTTGTGGAGCGGAGATCCTGCATCAGGGAGGGAGGGAGGGAGGGAGGGAGAGAGAGAGGAAGGGAGGGCTTCTGAGGATCCTGTGTTAAAGTGGGTGCGGATGCCTTTGCGGGACGATGCATGATGCTTGTTAGGGTGAATGGGGGCATTGTATTGAGCTGGGATCCTGCACCACAGAGGGAGGGCGGGAGGGACGGACGGACGGACGGACGGCGGGAGGGAGAAAGGGAGGGAGGAGGGACGGCGGGGGGAGAAAGGGAGGGAGGGACGGCGGGAGGGAGGGAGGGAGGGAGGGAGGGAGGGAGGAGGGAGGGAGGGAGGAGGGAGGAGGGAGGGAGGGAGGGAGGGAGGGAGGGAGGGAGGGAGGAGGGAGGGAGGGAGGGAGGGTTGGAGGAGGGAGGGAGAGGGAGAGGGAGGGAGCGATTAAGGATTCTTTGGGCGCCAAAAATCAAGTAGCATGTGGGCGCTCGTGGCACGGGATGATGCGTGGGGCTCGTGAGGGTGAATGGGTGCAGTGTGTGCTGGCGCTGAGATCCAGCATCAGGGATTCAGGGGGGAAGGAGGGTGTAGGAGAGGAAGGGAAGGCATTCGAGGCTCGAATCCACGGGACGATGCGTGGTGGCGCTGGTGAGGGTGAATGGGTGCAGTGTGTGCTTGCACCACACACTGCACCCATTCACCCTATCAGGGAGGGAGGGAAGGAGGGGGGTGGGGTGGGACTTTTGAGTCGACTCGAGGGTCACCGTGTTAGGGTGAATGGATGCAGTGTGTGCTGGAGCTGAGATCCTAAATCAGGGAGGGAAGGAGGGGATGGGGTGGGACTTTTGAGTTGACTCAAATGTCACCTAGGGTGAATGGGTGCAGTGTGTGCTGGAGCTGAGATTCTGTATCACGAAGGAAGGAGGGGTTGGGAGGGAGGGGGGAAGGAGGGGGAAGGAGGGGGAAGGAGGGGAAGGAGGGGGGAAGGGGGGGGAAGGAGGGGGGAAGGAGGGGGAAGGAGGGGGAAGGAAGGGGTGGGAGAGGGAGGGAGGGGGAAGGAGGGGCGGGAAAGGGAGGGAGGAGGGAAGGAGACAAGGCAAGACGGGACAGGCAAGATATGGGCAGACAAGGTATGAGCTATTATTGAGGCGCTTCAAAAAACCGACTCTTGCGACAGGGGCTGGCAGGCGGCAATTGTGACAGGATGGAAGCATTACTAAGGCAGTATGGCACATAATCAGGTACAGTGAATGGGAAACGAAAGCTAGAGAGGTAGAAAGGCAACAAGGAATCAGAGCAACAGGAGACGAAAAATCCGCGTGTACCTGAAAGGAAAAAACCATTGTGTGCACTCAAGTGGCACCACGTGTACCAAAGAATGCTCAACGAGTATGCGTGCACGACAGGACATGTGCTGTTGCGTAGCACGTGCTTTTCTTATGACTCAGTCGGATTGAGAAACGTGGAAGCAGCAGAGAGCGTATAGAGCTGCCACGGCAAGGGAAAGGGCCATCACAGAAGGGTCGATTTTTGAGTCGACTCAAAAATCGACTCACTGCCACGGCAAGTGAAAGAGCCATCACAGAAGGGTCGCTCGCTCGTGTGCGTGCTGCACACGGGCTTTCCAGCACAGGCTTGGTAGGACAGGCTTTCCAACGCAGGCTCGGTGGGACTGGCTTGGTAGGACATGCTTTCCAACGCAGGCTCGATGGGACTGGCTTGGAAGGACAGGCTCGATAGGAAACTTGGTAGGACAGGCTTGATAGGAAACTTGGTAGGACAGCCTTGGTAGGACAGGCTTGCTAGGACAGGCTTGATAGGACAGGCTTGATAGGACGGGCTTGGTAGGACAGGCTTGGGTAGGACAGGCTTGGAAGGACAGGCCTGATAGGACAGGCTTGTAGGCAGGCTTGGTAGGACAGGCTTGGAAGGACAGGTTGGTAGGACAGGCTTGGAAGGACAGGCTGATAGGACAGGCTTGAAAGGGCAGGCTTGGTAGGACAGCTTGGTAGGACAGGCCCTTGGTAGGACAGGCTTGATAGG